GGTAGAAGAAGAAGACACCTTTTAAATGAGATTTTTTCTCAGTATAATTTTGAGAAATAAAATTACGTATTAATAAAATAATTTATAATTTTAATTATTAATATTTATAAAATTTCTTATTAATTAATAAATATTTTTTAAAATTTCACTAATGCTATATTTCTCCAACAATCTTTTGCCTTCTGCAAAATCATTTGATGCAGCCTTCTAGAATTCTTGCCCTATATTTTGGAAAAGGCTGGGCTTCCTTCCAATACAGATCAGATTCATGAATGTTATTCGGATTTGTGAATTTACTATGGATTTTATTTTGATAATTTAAATTATTTATTTTGTAAAATTTTGTATATAGTATTTACAAAAAAAAGGGTTAATATCTAATAATTGTATTCTATTTAATATATTACATTTGTCAAAAAAATAAAAATAAACAAACAAGTGTATTTTCTGAAATAAATCATTGATAACAAATATAATAAATTGAACAAATTACGATTATCGAATCGATCTAATTTATTTATTTTTGTATAGGTGATATACACAAAAGATTTTACAAAATGAATTATTTGAATTATTGAAACAAGGCCTGTGATAGACTTCACAAACTCGGACAACACCATCCAGTACAGATCTAGACTAAAGGCAAACTAGACCCATTTGGAAAAAAAATATTTGAGATTCTTAAAAAATTTATCCAATTAACTCATAATGACATTTAATAATTGTTCTATCACGAATTCAATCATATAAAAATCTTTATATGAAAAAATTTTCTACATAAAAAATGTATAGAAGTGATCAACTGAATTAACATAATGGCTATTGTGAGTTTTTAAGTAAACACTCGGTTCACCAGAAACATGGCTGTGTAACAATTTTTTTTTTTTTTTTTCAAATGACTTGGAACATGGATCTGGTTAGAAGGAAGATGAGACAAGTGGCAAAATCTTAATAGAAATTATTCTTGGTCAATCGAATGGTTGATATTGGTGTTAAGCACCTCTTAACCTTCGTTTGGCTAACTTAGCTAGATTAAAAAAGTACAAAAAATAAAATAAATTAAATAAGTTAATAAGACAAAATATCACATTTAAATCATAATCATTTTTTTTTTCACAAAAGTTAAAAAAATCAAACTAAACAAACTTTTTTTAATCCCAAATTTAAAAGGTCTCAATTCAAAAAAATCAATTAAAAAAATCAATGCCAAACGACAACTTAGGCCTCGTTTGGGAACAAACTATTTTAGTAATTTTTTAAATTTTTGGATAAAATATGAGATAAAAAAAACTTGTATATTTAGAATGACTTTTTGATTTTTTACAAAAAAGATATATAAAAAGTAGAGAGAAAATGAAATCTTTGACTTTTGTAGTATAAGTTACAAACTTTTTAATTTTTTTAGTAACTTTTTGACATTTAAACTAAAACTATCACTTTCCAAATAAAGCCTTAATCTAATTAGGAATAACAACAATTGATAATATTTATCGTGAAATATAAAATGCTTTGAAGATTGAGGAAGACTTCACTTTTTCATCTTTTACTCGTGATTGTATTCTTAAACAGTTAACTAATGATATATCTTACAATTCCATATTTACTAAACAAAAATAAACAAATAAACAAACAAAAAATTATTATTATTCAATGTGAAGATGTTACGATACAATATGATCAACATTAGTAATCCGATCACATATGTTATAATGTTTGAAGGTTTATATCTCGAAACTTATCATATTTTTATGATGTATTCATATTTTCATATAGTCAGTCTCCTCTATATAAATAATTAATATTATAATGTGTTATAATTAAATTATAATAAACATCATAATTGATCAAAATCAAAAAGTACAAAACTTACACTTAAACATATGGTACCCCTTTTTTTAAGAAGTGTATTATAAAATTTTCGGAACAAATGATAATGATAAAGTAAACTATTAATATGTCTCAATAGTTAGACTTAATTCTCATCAAGTCCTATTAAAAATAAGTTTTAATACGTCGTTAAAAATGAATTTTTATGACGATTTTTTACATTTGTCATTAAAAATTGACAGTTAGTGACATTTTTTTGTCACGATTTTTATGAATTATCGGTGAAAGTTAAAAATTAGTGACGATTTTTTTAAACTATCACTAAAACTTATAATTAATGACATTTTTTGAGACAAATTTTTTAAATTATCACTAAAAATTAATAATTAATGACATTTTTTAATAATATTTAATAAAAAATATTTTAATTATAATAGAACTTATTAGACAATAAACTCACCTATTAAAACTTAGACGTAAATCCCTTTATGATATATGCATGGTTATGAATTATATTTCATGACTTCTAGAGAAATATGCAAGTCTAAATTGAACGAGGCATACGTATTCCAACCTAAGACTATTCCAATCCTTTGTTTTGGGAGGAATTTCAAGATTCGCATATTTGATAATTTTGCTAAAAATTCTCGAGACTTTTGAATGGTGTCAAAAGGTGGACCAGGCTCAGGTAGGAGAGGGCCTGAATCTGGACCATTTTTGCAATTAAAGACCAGTACCTTTCCATGATGATGTGTACATGTCTACATATAGCTCCATTCACTTTATTCTATATCATCACCCATGAAATCAATACTGTATGACTGAATTTCACATTTGATTGATTGTCTTTTCCTTGTTGACATAACTAGGAATTTGGAGGATTGTCCAGATGAACCTTCAAATTTATTAGTATAATTAGATTATATATGCATGTCATAATCATAAAGTAAAAATTAATCACCTTGTAATAAAATTATAAAGGTAGACATTTTGTATCCGCTTCGCGTCAATATCTTTCATATATCTAAGATTTATTTTGAAGGAATGAGTTTAATGTGGTCCTTTCTTAAAATGTTTCTCATTATAAAAAATAAAAATTAAACTAAATGACTAATTTAAAATCTCTTTGCCATTTTTTTTTTGTTTTGTTTAAATTGTATATAGTCTGTCTAGATAGGGTCTCCAGTAAATCAAGATTGACTTTGAATATATATATATATATATATATATATATATATAAGAAATGTTATATAAACTAACAAATTTTATAAGAAATAATATATAGAAAATTTGCAAAATTTGTTTCCAATCTCTTTAATTTATTGTTAGTCAACTTGTCAATGGTATCGGTCCTAATAATTTGAACAATAGAATAAATAAGGATTGTTATTGTTATTCCAAATCTTTATAAATTTATTTTTAAAAAGTTGTTCTAAAATTACACAGAAACAAGTACTAATACAATCTAGAAAATTATATTTTGAAATGTATTTATCTTATTCCAAATCTTTATAAATTTATTTTTAAAAAGTTGTTCTAAAATTACACAGAAACAAGTACTAATACAATCTAGAAAATTATATTTTGAAATGTATATATCAATATGTGAAGTGGTAATAACATTATCCTAAACTAAACCAGCAATATTCCACACCCAAAAAAAAAAAAAAAACCCCTCAAAAATTACTTAGAAAATAAAATATATAAATAAATAAAAAATTTGAGTGTAACTTGCACCATATTAAATTTAAAAGATAATTTAAATTGACCATCCTTGCTACTAGCATAAATATAATAAATTCTATGAATTTTGTATAATTATATCAATTTTTTTAATGAGATTAAATGGATTAGAATTAAAACAAATGACGTGTAAACAAAAATATATGTTTTAATATTAATGAATTATGAATAAAGAAGAATCAAATTATTGTATGAATTAAGATTTGCAAAGAATAAACGGTACTCAATAGTGTTTTAAGAAGTTCGTTAAAAATTAATTTTTTGACTTTTTTTAAATTTTTTTGTCATTTCATAGGTAAAAAATATAAGAAGTAATATAACTCAAAATGAATTAAAAATCAAAAATTAATTTCTAACTAGTTTCGCAAATGAGCCCCCAATGTATCTTTTTCTCGACCTTAAGAAAGAGTAGCACACTTTATTCAAATTTAAATTTATGTTTTATATTTAGATAATTTCGGATATTTTTAGTAAAGTACATAATTTTTATAAAGACCAATATATGGGGTGACACGCAGACATGGTGCCAAATTTTTTATAATAATATATAAAAAGAAAAAAAAAGAAGAAGAAGCTAGTTATAGACCCATGAGGTCAGAGTCATGACATCGCCAAAGCCAAGTTGCAAAATATGAGTTTGGACCGACCTCGCCGCCGTGCGTCATTAACTCACGTGCCCTAAACCTCCCTGGGCCCTCCCCTCATCATCCACCACACAACCACCAAATATATACATCCAACCACAACCATTTATAAACCTAATAACGCTTGAAATCATTAGAAATATTGTTTTAAAAGTATCATTAGTGATGTGATAATAGACAAGACTCATTGTTTGTGTTTTTTTTTTTTTATTTAAAGTGCTTGCCAACTCATTAGTGGTGGTTTAGAGCACCACTTTTAATGTTATAAACCAGTTGCAGAAAAAAGAAAAAAGAAAAAAAGAAAAAAAACCCATAATCCCATTTATGTAAAAGTAATGTTAGAGATATTAAATTTTTTATTAAATAAATGATTAAATATTTTATATGAATGTATTATTTATATTTATGTGAGACATTTTATCATTTATTTAGTAAAAAATTTAAGACCTATAGTATTTTCTAAACCCACATCAGTACAATAACCAATATTATAGCTATGTTTAGCATGGATTTTTTTGATTATTTTAATCATAAAAAAACAAAATATATTAAAAAATCAATAAGATAAAATGTCACATCTAAACCATAATAATTTCGTTTTTGCTCTCATAAAAATTAAAAAAAATCAAAAAATTCATCATAAACAAAACTTTTTAGTCTAAAAAATAAAAAAATTCAAAAACTAACCATCGTCCCAAAGGAGACTTTATTTAAATGCAGAGACATCCACTTTAGCCAAAACCTTTACCTTTCAATCCCTTTAATCCATAATTCAATCATTCTTAAAATTTTAATCATTTATCAGTTGTGTATAAAGGGGTGTTAGTTATTCAAACACTTTAGAAAATTCAAGCCCAAACAAACACTCTTCTCTTCTCCTCTTCCAATATGGATTCCCTCTCCACCCAATACCCAAATTCACAACCCCTCTCCTGGGACCAAGACCTTGTTTTCTACCACAACAATTCCCTTCCATTTGATTTCAACGACTCGGAAGAAATGCTTCTTCTGGGAGTCCTCGCCGAGGCTCACTCCTCAGAAACGATTTCCTCGTCCTTTAGAGCAATCAAGGACGAGGAAGTCACTTCCAAGGAGAAACAAAAGTCCTACAGAGGGGTTCGGCGGCGCCCGTGGGGAAAATTCGCCGCCGAAATCAGGGATTCAACGAGAAACGGAATCCGGGTTTGGCTCGGGACGTTTGATAGTGCGGAGGCGGCCGCCTTGGCTTACGACCAGGCCGCCTTCTCGATGAGGGGTTCCACGGCGGTGCTCAATTTTCCGGTGGAGACAGTCCGGGAATCTATGAGGGATATCAAGTGTGGGTGTGAAGATGGTTGTTCTCCGGTGGTGGCACTTAAGAGGAGACACTCAATGAGAAACAAGTACTCAGTTGGCAGTAATAAAAGATGTAAAGTTAAAGATATCAAGGTAGAGAATGTGGTGGTATTAGAGGACTTGGGAGCTGAATATTTAGAGGAGCTACTTAGTTCATCTTATTAGAATGGTTATAGTTTTTTTTTTTTTTTTCCTACCCATTTTTCAATTTTATTTTTATTTTATTTTTTAATTGGTGTTCTCGCCCGTGATAATATAGGAGCTATTATAAATTTGTCTCATGCTAATATATAGGAATTATTGTAAAGCGAATGTAATTATCAAAAAAATTAAAATTTCTACTCATTCAACCTTTTGTTTCTTCGTAAGTTTGAAAATGATCTCATGAACTTTTATTTTTTTTCTTTTTTATTATTATCTTGTATGCCTCAATTATTGTAGCTTGATATATATTATGTAGAAAGATGCACTTATTTTACTTACCAACTTAGAATTTGTTCTTTTCGAATTTCAAAAGTTGCATTACGGTTAGAATTGCTTTTATCGCTTTCATGTTCTTTTAAAATAACAATGTCTAATCACGTGCTTTAAATGAATGGAAAATATATTTTTGAGAAAATTAATAATATTTCCTTGAGTAAAGTTAAGATCTTAATTAATAGTGATTCATAGTTGAAATAATGAATCCACATTTAGTGCTTTTCTTCTTGTTTTTTTTCCTTCTCAATTAATCATGCATACGATTGAACTGTTATTAAACAACAAAATTGATGTATAAAATTTATGAACACATAAAATCAATTTCAAGGAAAATGAAGAGAGATTATTGGATTATTGATGGGCTGGTGGAAGGCATTGGAGAGAAACTCAAAGCACTTCTACAGGGAAAGTAGAAAGCATGAAATGAAGTGGGACATGCAATCCTGAAAAGAGCAACCGTAAGAATACTATTGCTACATATCCCACCACCACTACCTTTTAATCTGAGATTTGTGTCTATCGCAAGTATAAATTTTAAAATAAATTATTGATATAAATATGATATAATTAAATGACTATTTATATCTAATTAACGTAATTTTTTACAAAGATAAAATATTCGATAAACCTTACATATTGAACGAATTCTATGGTGAGTCCATGAAATTAAGCTCAACATAAAATATTATATGTATGCTGAAATAAAAATAGTGATTAGTAATAACTTTACAAACATGAATAAAAATCACATTTAACTTAATTTAAAAAATAAATTAAATTATGATCTAGTTATTTAATTTTTAAATAAAAACAATCTAAACAGATCAAGCCCCCAACGCAAAGGGCATAAAGATAGAACCCAAAAATTTTACCTAGAATATGACTATCCAGTTCAAATTCAAATATTCTTTCACATCCTCACATGTAAAATCAATTTGGGTAAATTAATTTTTTTTTTTTTTTAAGGTTTAGAAAAAATATAATTTTATATTTTTGACATAATTATTCTATCCTCCTTTTTAGTATATTTAAAATAATTGAAACTAGTGTTAAATTGTTAATGGTGGATAGACACTGAATAAATAAAGATAAATATATATTTTAATTAAAAAAATAATAATATATTTTTTTAGTTATATGAGTAACAAATTATTAATAAAAAAAAATTATCTAAATATTATGTGAGTTAAAATTTTGAACAAAATTAATGTAATTATGTTAGAGTACAGATTAACTATTTTCTTAAAATTTTAATAGAAGTGAATATAATTTATCAAATTAATTTTAACCTTATACTAACTTTTTCTTATTTTTTATTTTATTTTATTTATGAAAAGGGTAAATTACAAATACACCCCTTGAGATTGAATTAAAATACAAATCGCCCCTGTAGTTTTAGAAATTACATTCCACGCCCTGAGATTTCTAATTTCATAATAAATTGTCAATTTTATTAATAAATTATCTAGTCAATTAACAGTTTTTAATGATGTTAGAAATATATTTCAATTAATAATTTAGGTAATTTTATTATTATATAGGAGAACAATTATAAATTTTATTTTTTTTAGTTAATTCTGTTAAATAAGAAATTATAACAAAGAGGTATTTGTAATTTTCTAACCCATAAAAAATAATTTATACTTTAAATAATTATTAGAGAGTATATTTGTAATTTATCCTTGTAAAAAAATAAGTTGTGTGTAACTAGCAATGAAAAGGCTGAGATTAGCTGTTGCAGATCCAACACCTATTAAAAAAAAATTAAAACAAATTCATTTTCGTTTTCCCGCGCAATCAAGACCACAGCTTATACAGCTTTGATATATACTCACTCTCACTCAGCCCCCTTCTCCTCTACTCCTGTACCCTTCCACGGACCCCACCCTCACCGGCGATCCACCTTCACCGGCGACCCACTCCCGGCGATGGCGAGAAGCTCTTGAAACGGGACCAGCTGACATCTCCTTACACAAGCACACACACACACAGGCACACACACATAGTCTCCACCAAACCCAGCCTCACCGACGACCGACAACCCACTCCCGATGACGGCGACCCACTCTATATATAGACCCAGGAGAAGGAGATCACCCTTATTAGGCGACCTATTTAGGGTAGCTTCTTGCAAAAGATGATTGAAGTTCAAAACGTCCACACCCATCGCTACCAAGAACAAACATTGCCATCACCATGTGAAGTTGTATTTCAGTGGATGTGCCTTGTACTATTTCATTTTCCTCATCTTTTTTTGTTGGCACAAAATAGACATAGTTGTTTGATTTCAAATATGGGTTAGACAATGCACTGCAAACATTTGAAGAAATGTCTGACTGGATAGTTGTTTCATTTCGATTAACAAGTTCCTCATACTCTGTTAGGGTTGGTTTGGGAAGTGTGTTGGCTTTTTGACTTTTTTGTTATTTTAGCCTGGGCTAAAAAACTTGGTTTGGGAAGGACTTTTTGGCTTTTTGACTTTTTAACTTTTTTTGTGAGGGAAGAGTTTAATGATTATGGGTTGGATGTGATGTTTTGTTTGTTGTGGGTAAAATAACCTATTTTGCCTTTTATGGCTAAAATAGCCAAAAAAAAGCCCACAAAATCCCTTCCCAAACGGTGCCTTAATTTTTTCTGATATAAAGTGCAAATTATTTTTTATTTTATTTATGTTTTGTAGTGAATGGAAATTTTCTGGTCAGATTGGATCAAATCACTCTTTCTGATTAAAGCATTAATAGAGTGTTTTCTCTAACCCATTTGGAATTATTCTTAGAAATCCGTACAATTGAAGCAGGTGTGTTTTTTAAACATCACTAACCTAATAAACGAAGTTGGTGTGAACAGAATAGTTATGGCGAGCAATGTTAGAAGTATTCTTGATATATTCCGTGAAGAATCTGTTATTATCTGTGTGATAATAAATTTGAGTCATCTCTGCGGCCACACTTGTAATCAACCTTAATATGAGAGTAAATTGTTGGGTATACCTCCTTATTGGAGTGTGGGACCCAATTGATTTATTAAAAGAGTTTGATTTAGTTTGGTATTAGTTATAATATATTTTTGGTTTAGTATTAATTATAATATATTTTTATATATTTATATTTAATTTGTGGAGACCTAATCCAATTTGATAACAATTAGGGTTTGATTACAAAACCTAAGATTTAATTATATATATATATATATGTGTGGCGTGGTTTTTTGGTGTAACACACAGTTTCGGAATTGGTGAACTAATAGCAGAGGCTACAGTTTGATATTGATATTGTTTCTTCCGAAGCAGAGGGTAGCAATTTTGTCATCATATAGATTCAATTCGGTGAGTGTGCTGGAAGAATTCATTGGTTTTCAAGGGTTGGTGCTTATTCGGCTACTTCAGTGGAATTAATTTGGATTATTATTTTGGGCCTTCTACAACTTTGGTTCTGAAGATTTTTGTTTATCTATTTGGTGAGGTCTTTCCTCTTGTTTATTTGTGATTATTTGGAATTCACCTAAGGGTGGTTTTGTGAGACCATTCGTGTCTCGTTTGTAATCGTTTGGAACTTATTTGGTTGATAGTGGAATCGAATTTCGATCCCGTGGACGTACCTTACATTTAGGGAACAACGTAAAAATTCTTGTGTTGCTTTTGATTTAATTTTTTCGCATTAGTTTTTTTCCCATTGATTGATTTACTTGTAGGAAATCACATAGATTTTCCCTAACAACTGGTATCAGAGCTTACGGTTTATTTAGGTCTATTTATTTGTGTAAATCAATGGAGGGGAATGTGGGTCGTATGTCTAGCTTCAATGGAAGTAATTAGGTAACTTAGAAAACTAAAATGGAGGACCTATTATTTTGTAAAGATTTGTATAGACCCATTGAGGGTGATTCTGGCAAACCCGAGGGTATGAAAGATGATGAATGGAATAGGCTTAATCGAAAAGCCGTTGGTGTTATCTGTCAATAGATTGATGACAGTGTGTTTCATCATGTTGCTACTGAAACTTCGGCACATGATTTATGAAAAAAATTAGAGAGTCTTTATGACAGAAAATCAGTCACAAATAAAGCCTTTCTGTTTCGTAAGTTGGTTAATTTAAAATATAAAGATGACAGCCTCATTCCTGAACATTTGAATGAAATAAAAAGTATTGTTAACCAACTTGCATCTATGAAAATTATTTTTGATGATGAGTTGCAGGCTTTGATGCTACTTAGTTCTTTGCCCGAAAGTTGGGAGACTTTGGTTGTGACAGTTAGTAATTCGGCACCTAATGGAGTTGTCACAATGGGCCAAGTCACTAGTAGCTTGTTGAATGAAGAAACTAGAAGAAAATCAGCGAGTTCCTCTCATTCGAAAGCATTTGTTGTGAAAGGCCGAAGCAAAACAAGGGGGAGGAGTAAAACTCCTCATGGTCGTGATCAAAGCCATGACAAATCAAAAGATTGTTCTTTTTCAAAGAAAAACATTGAGTGCCATTATTGCCATGAGAAAGGGCACATGAAGCGGGAAAGCCGAAAGCTCAAGAATAAGGAGAAAAAGCGTGACAAAAGTGTGGACAAGAACAAAGAAGACATAATGGCAGTTACTACCAATGGTGATCTCATGGTCGTTTGTGAAGATGATTGTATCAATTTTGTGGGCCAAGAGAGCAATTGGGTGATTGATTCCGGTGCTTCTTTTCATGTGACTTCTCGAGTTGATTTCTTCACTACCTACACCGAAGGAGATTATGGTTTTGTTCGAATGGGTAATGAAGGTTTGTCCAAGATTATTGGCATGGGTGATGTTTGCTTGGAAACAAATTTGGGCTGCAAGTTGTTGCTTAAAGATATGAGGCATGTTCCCGACATTTGCCTCAATTTGATCTCTACCGGGAAGCTAG